ACAAATAAGAATAAACTTCAAAAGTTGAAATTAATTTTTGTGCTGCTGCATCTTCTTCTCTGAACAAGTGGCAGTCGGAGAGAGCCACGTGCAGCAGCTGTACAGACACCCGAAAGCAGCAGCGCAGCGGCGGCCCTGGTGCTGCTGCTGCTGCTGCTGCTGCTGCTGCTTTGGGCCACCACAGGTACCACGGGGCGATTGGCAGGCAGCTCAGCAGCGGGGCCGTCTGCAGCAGCAGCGCGCTCCTGCGGCTTGCTGCTGCTGCTTCTGCTGCTGCTGCTCCTGCTGCTGCTGTTTCTGCTGCTGCTGCGCAGGGCAAGCCGCGCGGAAGAGACACGAGAGGCAGCAGCTCAGGAGACAGCAGCTGACTGTAGTACTGCAGCAGCAGCTGCAGCACCTCGTTTTGCTGCAGCAGTTCCTGCAGCGCAGCAAGACTGCTGCTGCGGGGGAGGCCCTGCTTGGGGGCCTCCCTGTTGCTGCTGTGGGGCCCCAGGGGCCCTTCAACAGCAAACTCGTAGAAGTGGAAAAAGCTGTTACTTCTGCTGCTGCTGCTGCTGCTGTGTTGCTGCTCTTTTGCAAAGGGGTCGCTGGGAAGCCCTGCTGCTTGCTTGAGTCTTGCTGCTGCTTCCTGAAGAATGTGGCAGCAGATGTAGCCGTGGGGCAGCTGCTGCAGCAGCTCCTGCAGCTGCTGCTGCTGTAAGGGCTTTGCAGCTTCAGCAGCAGCAGCGCCGCGGTAGCAGCAGCAGCTCAGCGCGAAGCGCAGCAAAGGCAGCAGCTTCCTACTCAAGAAAGACCCTGCTGCTGCTGCTGCAGCAGGCAAAGGGGGGCCCCTATAAAGCTCCACTTCTAAATTAGAAAAGGGCAAACGAACTGAGGGGCCCCCGGCTTCGGGAGATCCCCAAGCTTGCTGCTGCTGCTGCTGCTGCTGCTGCTGCTCATTTTCTGCTGCAGCTATGTGTTCTGTATTGCCTTTCTCTTTTGCTGCAGCAGCAAGCGGCAGCAGCTGGTCGAAAGGAAGGACCCTCAGTACATTGTCTCTGTTCTGCACGCGTTCCTGTCTTCTGTTGCTGCTGCTGCTGCTGCTGCTGCTGCTGCTGTGGGGTTTTCTTCTGATGCGGCGACGCAGCTGCTCGCCTAGAGCCCCTGTGTGTCTGCTGCTGCTGCTGCGTCTCTCTTCAATAGTGCTATTTTGCTGCTCTGGAGCTGCAGCAGGGGCCTGCGCCTGCTGCTGCTGTTCCTGCTGCTGCTGCTGCAGCTGTGGCTCTTGCTGCTGCTGCTGCTCCTGCTGCTGCTGCTGCTGCTGCTGCTGCTGCTGATTGTTATTGCTGTGGTGGCGGCGGCGGCGGCTGCGGCCGACGCTGCCGGGGATGCCCTCAGGAGACTCCATTAAGTTCACGGCTTTGCACGCTAAACCCTACAGCATAAACCCTAAACCCTAAACCCTAGGCCCTAAGCCCTAAGCTCTGAACTCTAACAACAGCAATACGGCACAGGTTGAGGCTAAAGCACTACGCGTCAGCAGCAGCGACGGCAGCAGCAGCAGCAGCAGCAGTAGCTGTGTGACTTTTTCCACAGTGAGTAACCATGCTGTTTGCTGCCTGCAGCAGTTGCAGCAAAAGCAGCAGCAGCTGTTGCTGCAGCTGCTGCTGCTGCTGCTGCTGCTGCAGCACCAGTGGGGGCCTCGGAGTGAGACGGCAGGTGACCTTGGGGCCCCCCGGGGGCTTCTAACTGCAGCTTTTGTCTCTGAGAAGTGGAAAATTGAATTAAATTTATTTATTTAAATTAAATTTTAATTTTTAATTCCAAAATTAAACAAAGACGAGACTCAGAGCGGCAGCAGGCGAGCGCCGCCACCTCCTGCACACGCCGGCAGCCGCCGGGGCCCCCGGGGGAAATCGGCGGAAAAGCAGCAAAAGTTTCGCATTTTAGATAAAAATAATTTTATTTTTAAGTCCAAAAATAATTTATATTTCTTAAAATAACCTTTTAAACTAATTTCTCCGCGTTTCAGCTTCGTTCTGCTGCTGCTGCTGCTGCTGCTGCTGCGGTCGGCCGCGGCCAGCTGGGGTGTCACTACACCGAGCGCACACGCGCACTACAACTCTGGGAATAAAAGCGGCATTTTCAAATCTTTTCGTAATAAAAATGAATTATAAAATGAAACAAATTAAATTAATTTCTTTTGCTGTAAGTTCTGAGCAGAAACGCCCGCAGCCGCAACATCCCCAACTCCTGCTGCTGCTGCTGCTGCTGCTGCTGCTGGCCTAAAGGGCTCTCTTTATAAATCAAACTACCCGCGAATTTCTGCTTCGTAATTTGCGCTGCTTAAGCAGCAATATGTGAAGCGCCAGCAAGAGATACCACCAAAGAACCAAAAGAACAGCAGCACCAAGAGCAGCAGCAGCAGCAGCAGCAGCAGCAGCAGCAGCAGCAGCAGCAGCACGAACAACAGCAGCAACAGCACCAGCAGCAGCAGCAGCGGCAGCAGCATAAGCTGAAAGGCCTTTTTGCTTTTCTATCTTTATTTTTTTTCAATTTAACAAATTTGAAATATTTCAGGTGTACGTACGTACACCCCAGCGTAACTAACACCCAACACTAAAAGCATTAATTTAACTTTTTGATGTAAATTAATTTTATATTTTTATAACATTTATTATTTATTCATTCATTTATTTGTTTATTTATTTATTTATTTATTTGTAGATAATAAGACTGTTTGTTAAAGAGTAAAAGTTTGAATTTGATATTAAAGAAACAAAACAGAAACAGAAAGGCAGCAGCATTGTGGGCTTTTTGGCTGTAAACCCTAAACCCTAAACCCTAAACCCTAAACCCTAAACCGCTGCCCCGAAAAGGATTTCTTTGTCTGTTGCTTCGCCTCAGCCAATGCCCCACTAAATTTATTTTTATTTTCTATTTTATTTATATATTTTGTTTATTTTTTTAATCTTCTTTGAGAATAAATGAAAAGATTTAAAAGAATAAAAGTAACAAATGAAATTAAATAAATAAAAGTACATTTGGATGCAGAACAGGCAATGGAGTGTACACACACATCCATACAATCTTTCACTTTTCCATTATTTTTTAATTCCTCACCTATTCATTAATTTGCCATTACATTTATTTGTTTATTTAGATATTTATTTATTATTTATTTATTTAGATATTTATTTATTTATTATTTATTTTTTTAGATATTTATTTATTTATTTTTATCTATTAATTTTTTATTTACTTTTATTTATTTGTTTTTATTTATTTATTTTTATTTATTTATTTTTTAGTTTTTATTTATTTGTCTTCAATAAGCAAGTAAAGATGCAGCAAAAGGTTATCTGGTTCCTCTTTACTTTTCAACAAAGTAAAGATGGGGAAATAAAAAAAGTAAAAACGAAATAAATAAATAAATGACGCATAAATAAGTAAAAAAACTAATAAACAAAATTTAAAAATAAATAAATAAATATTATAATTTAGTTATAAAAGATAGAAGAAAGTGCAGCAGCAGCAGACACCGCAGCAGCGCTGCTGCAACAGTTTCCGTTTTAGTGGCTTAGCTGCTTTCTGCTGCTTTTATGAATTCAAATATAAATAAAATAACATAAAATAAATAAATTAAAATAAATAAAATAAATAAATATAAATAAATAAACCCAATTGCGTTTATAGTTGGAGTTCTTCTGGCAGATAAAAAGAGCCTTTGAGGTGTACCCGCAGGTGTACGTACACCTCAGAATATGAATTGGGGCTTCGGGTGTCTGTACACCTTCGGCAATATTTGGAATTAAAAGATTTATTTTATTTGCTGCTTCTTCGCCATTTATTTCTTAATTTAATTACTTTTGTTTTTAAATTAATGCGCAGCTAAATGTTCTTTTAAGATTTCCCTTTTTGTTTTTCTGTGTCTTCCTGCTGCCTCCTTTTCGTATGTACAGACACCTTAACCTCCTCACTTTCTGCTTCAAGTGGCTGCTGCTGCTGCTGCAGCTGCTGCTGCTGCAGCTGCTGCTGCTGCTGCTGCTGCTGCTTCTGCTGCAGCGTCGGATCCCCATTCAGACCCGGATTCCGGAGCTGTGGGGGCCCACGGACTGCAGCTGCTCGCAGAGAAAGAAGACACAAACCAGCAGGGGCTGCAGAAAGAGGCAAGCTGCTGCTGCCAGCCCCCTTTGGAGCTCTTCTAATGCCAATAAGGATAAAAAGGCACTTTAAAAGAACTGGAGAGTCCTGATGGTGGAGAAGGAGAAAATAAACTGCAGCAAATGGCGGTTTTTTTCAGGTGTACAGACAGCTAGCGCAGCAGCGGCACGGCTGCTGCAGCGCAGCTGTGGAGCCCGCGGCCCCCGGCGAGCGTCCTTTTTGGGACTTTTTTTGCGGAAATGAATGAAAATGATATTTTTAATTCATTTGTTTTTGGAAGAAAAAATTTAAACGGCGAATTCCCCCCGCATCGGCTTCACCCCCCGCGGAGCCGCCGCTGCAGTCCGCAGGAACGCGGCGCGGGCAGCGGGGGCTCTGCTGCAGCTTCCGAAGCTCCTTTTGGAATTAAAATTGAAAATTTGAATTGAATTGAGTTTTTAAATTAAAATAATTAAAGAAGACAAAGACAAAGAATGCAATTCCGCGGCAGTTGCGCGCGAGCTGCTGCTGCTGGCGCTGCAGCGCTGCCGCCTCGGCCGCGTCGGCTCGAGGAAAGCTGCCCAATTTTCCCTCTTTTTCGATTTAATTTCAAATTTAATTCATGCATGCATTAAAATACATTTCTGGAGAAGTTTTTGAGCCAGCCCCCCGAGGTCCCTCATCTGCAGACCAGCCAGCAGCAAACATTGAATTCAACTTCCTCCCCCCGCAGCTGCTGCGCTGCTGCAGCAGGCCCCACAGCTGCTGCTGTAACAGTTCTCTCCGGATCCTGCAGCAGCAGCAGCGGCTCGTTGCTGCTGGGCCTTCCGGCCTTATCGACGCTGAATTCAAGTCCCAGCAGCAGCAGCAGCAGCAGCAGCAGCCGCAGCAGCAAAAAGCAACAGCTGCTGCTGCGCTGCCAGGGGTCCCAAAGATCGCAGTTTACAAGACACGGTAATGGCCTGAGCAAGAGCAGCAGCAGCAGCAGCAGCAGTAGCAGCAGCAGAAGCAGCAGCAGCAGCAGCAGCAGCAGATCCGCAAGCTCCGTCGTTTTTTTCACCCCCATCGTGGGGACCAGCAGCAGCGTCTCTAGATGGAGGGGGCAGCAGCTGCTGCTGCACGCGACGGCGCAGACAGCACTGCACACAAGCAGCAGCAGAAGCAGCAGCAGCAGCAGCAGCAGCAGCAAAGAGCTTTGCAGGAACCTTCGAGAGACGAAGGGTCTCGCTGTGCTGCTGCTGCTGCTCTTTATCATCCCTGTGCTACAAATGCGCCAGTAGACACTGCTGCTGCTGTTGCTGCAGCAGCAGCAGCAGTAGCACAGAGCGACTTCAACGAGGGTTTATTTGCTGCTGAGACGATACCAGAAGAGCAGCAGCAGCAGCAGCAGCACTGCCAGGAATCCCAGGTGACGGCAGCTCTATCCGTGTCAGTCAACATTAGACAAACAGCAGCAGCAGCAACAGCAGCAGCAGCTGCTGCTGCTGCACACGAACAAGACAAGGATGGAGAAAGAGGACAGCACCCGGCAGCAGCTGTGTCTGCTGCAGCGGCTGC